ACAAATGAGGACTAAAGCAAGCGAAGAGGCAAAAACAACACAAAAAGTGCAACAACAAAAAAAAGTTCAGGCATTGCTCAGAGTAGTAGAAGCCAGACAAGGGAGGATTAAAGTCAAGTCACCTTTATTTATATAGTGCTTTTTACAATACAGATTGTATCAAAGCAGCTTCACAGTGAAAACATGGGAAAAAAAACAAGTTTGTTTCTCGAAGACAGTTGTGTCATCGTCCACCTGAATAAGGCAAGTCAATAATATTGTTGAATATTAAATGTCCAACTTTTTTTCTGCTCTACTGTACAGTTCTCGGATGTGCAGTGTTGAAAATTCTGCTGAATTTGTCAAAGTGAATTTTTAAAGAGTGAATTGAATTAAATGGTGAATACGGATTCTTGAATGTTTAATGAAAGTGTGTATGAAATGTTTCCATTTGAAATATTCACTGCTTAAATATACTGTACAACCCTGTTGAATTTCAGCCCCCAAAAGTGCAATCCCTGAAAATCCCATGCATTAGAATGCAAGTACTGTTAATGCAATGCATTTTTTCCAATACATTTAAATCAACATGCATTTTTAAGACATTAGTCCTTATTTTACTTCCATAGCTTGGCCGTTTCACTTTTGGTCCGCAGCTGCTGCAATGACAGTGGCCTGCAGTTTAATTAGTCACTTCAGCACAGATGCAGAATGAGACTCATAAAACATGAGCTCTCTGGCCCTGCAGCGGGGCACAAGTCTCCCCCCTGCCTCACCCCGCTGTAAATCAGGCAAAAGTCCTCTTTATTTCCCAATAAATCCCACTCGCATCCCACTGCCTGTTTAACATGAACATGGTTTGTAGAGGTCGCCACGTGCCGCTTAACACAAGTACTGTACGTTTGAGCCTGTGGTGTCCAAGTCCAGAATACACATTATGAAATGGCAGCCGATTGGTGGCCAGGAGGTCATGAATAAATGTAATGCTGTTGTCTATGTCTTAACACTTGAAATACTAAAACTGCCCCAAGCGGTCATTTTACCCACTAGATTCCACACTCTATCTATATCTTTAATGATAAATACCCAATTGAGAGATTAATGCATTTATTGTATTAGGATATCTTTTAAAAACAAAACAACACCAAATTGTACATTTAAACCACTTTAATTCTACATTTATAAATAATAATATCATTAATATCCTACCGTAATTATCGCATATTCATAACAGGCTATATTCAGAAGAAGATAATAACAACTAAAAGTATCTTATTTAGATATTCTGTTGATAGTGAGAGAGACAAAGGTCAACTGCGTGAAATTTAACAAAAGAATCCCGCGAAATTCAGTGCAGTCGATATGACCGTCTATTTACGTAGGTAAAGATGTTCATTTGCTTCTTTTTTTTTTTATGTATAATTTATATGAAAAACATTTTAAATGAAAATACAGATACTTTTTCAGGGACCAGCAGGATTTTATTTATTTTTTCAACAAAGTTATTGCATATATAACATTCAAAATGGTCAAAATGAACTGTCATTGGCGTTCTAGTGTTGAACGCAAACATATAAGATCCCAATCGCATCCCACCTCCTGCTTGACACGAGTGCAGTTTGTAAAGCGTAAAACAGGCACATTTGCTCCCATGGTTCCAAAGCCCAGAACATACATTACGAAACGACAGCCGATCGGTGTTAAGGAGGTCACAAAAAGGTGGAACGCTGGTGTTGACGTCTTAAAAGCTAACATATATAATCCCAAGCACATCCCGCCATCTGCTTAACAAGAGAACGGTTTGTAAAGCCCGTCACATTCCTTAAAAAAAAAGCGCTTTGGCCCAGTGGTTCCCAAGTCCAGAATACACATTATGAAACGGGAGCTGGTGAAATGCTATCGTCGACGTTTTAAAGGAGTAGTTCACTTTTAAAAAAACTTTTGCTGATAATTTACTCACCCTCATGTCATCCAAGATGTCCATGTCTTTCTTTCTTCAGTCGAAAAGAAATTAAGGTTTTTGATGAAAACATTCCAGGATTTTCTCAATGGACTTCAATGGGAACCAAACGGTTCAAGGTCCAAATGAGAGGTTCAGTGCAGCTTCAAAGGGCTTTAAACGACACCAGACGATGAATAAGAATTTTATCTAGGACCCTTCGAGTCATGACTCGAAAAAAGATTTGTTCATTTTGATGAACGAGTTTGAACAGGAGAGTCACGAACGCTCATCACAGAACAGAGCAAGGCGAGCATTTGTGCTTATAAAACTTTAAAAAAAAATATTTTTTAAATGAGCGATTGTTTCGCTTGATAAGACCCTTATTCATCGTCTGGTGTTGTTTAAAGCCCTTTGAAGCTGCACTGAAGGACCTTGAACCGTTTGGTTCCCATTGAAGTCCATTATATGGAGAAAATCCTGGAATGTTTTCATCAAAAACCTTAATTTCTTTTCAACTGAAGAAAGAATGACATGGACATCTTGGATGACATGGGGGTGAGTAAATTATCAGCAAAAGTTTTTTTTTTTTTTTAAAGTGAACTACTCCTTAAAGCTCTAACATAAATGATCCCAATCGCATCCCACTGTCTGCTTAACACGAGTTTGTAAAGTCAGCTCTTTGCTGTTTAAGGCAGGCATGTTTGGCCCTATGATTCCCAAGTTCAGGATACACATTACGAAACGGTGGTCATGAAGAGGTGGAGCTTTAGCGCTAACATGAGCTTTCCATTACATGTGTGATTATTGTCATTGAAAATTGTATTCAGCCCAAAATGTCCTCTCGAAGGCTAAGATATCCGTGCGCCTGGACAGCTAATTTATCTGCTGGTGTCAAGGAAGGGGGGGGGGGGGGGTTTGCGGAGAGCGGGAGGGGGCGGCACTGCGGAGAGAACAATGAATGTGACAGTGCTCCTCTCCGCTGTGTTCATTCCTAGTCTCATGCTAATTAGCCCTGGGAACAGGCTGCCAGAGCCAGGAGAGGTGCCTCTGGTGCAACATGATGCAATGCAGGGCTTCCCTGTCCTATATCAATGCAGAAACCTCTGTGGCTCATATCAAAGCGCTATCTTAGTCGGCTGTGTCATCCCGCTGGGCTGGATCTGTTGGTTTGCTGCGGGCAGAAACGGGTTTATCAAAAGATCTTGTTTGCACACCGTCATCGGCATAGACTTTTAATGTGCGAGGCTAATTAGATTTAGAGCACCATGTTCTTATTAAATTGAAAGAATTTTCAATTCTGGTGGTAGGTTAGATGAGGCTTGATGGAAAACAGTGGGTCGGTCACTAAGGCTTTATCTGGTGTTGATTCTGAAAATGGAAAAGGGCACTCTTTATCGCTCTTATGCCTGATGAAAGGCTATTGATTACAACACTGAATGAGTAATATTGAGGGAAATATATAGTCTGGGTTCTGTTGAGGCACTTTCAGTCCTTGCTTTCAGGTCTACATTCTTTCCTGTGGTTTGGTTGCTAGGCACTTCATCAGGAAACTCGATTTGTAATTAGAATGTGTGCAGGGTTATTTTCTGTCTGTTCTCTTACGAAGCTCGGTAAATGCGTGTTTTTCATCAGAGGAACCATGGTACCAAAAGCCACAGTGAAGGAAATTTGCTATATACAAAACAAGGACTGTACAACTATTTCAAATCTGTCAAAAAAAATTAATAAAATAATAATAATATATACTAAAAGCTAAAATCAGTCACCATACATGGCCATAAGTGAATTTGGACATCATGTACAGTAAGAGAAATTTATATTTATTTTGAGATTGCAAATTATTAGTGGTGGGCATATATTCATTTTTTTATCTAGATTAATCTCGCTGTAATCTTGGGATTAATCTAGATTAAAATGGCTCATTTGAATTCTGCTGTGAATATGTATGCTACCCAAATAAATAACCTCGCAGGTAGTTTGTAAGATGGGCAGGGGCGGAGCTAGACTCTCAGTAATACAGTGGGGGCGGAGCTTCATTTGCTACCAAGTCGTTTTAAAATTAAAACCGTTAAAAAAAAGAAGTAAAATATCTGATGAGTGCACATGTAATAATATGTCACTCGTTGAGCCGAGGAAGCTTATGTTAAATAAAATACAAAGACTATCTAGTTCTTTTCCTTTTAATGCGCCCGATTTATATTTTCTCTCCATTTTCGTGATTATTCTCTACATTAAACATTCGCTCTTCACGCCACCCACTGTACTCCTGAGGCAAGGCCTACCTTACACGCTGTGTTTCGGTTCATTTATGACTCACCGAAAGACATGTTGATAATAAGAGATGTTTCTATTCAAATTATTTCTGAAGGATGACACTCAAGTAATGAGTAATGATGCTGAAATTTCAGCTTTGCATCACGGGAACAGTTATTACGTTACAATTGAATAGTGATCAAAATGTTAATGTTTTTACTGGATTTGTGATCAAATAAATGCAGACTTGGTGAGAATATAGAGATTTGAAAACGTTAAAAGAATCAAATCTGAACTTTAGTGTAGAAATTTTCATTGTGCTTTATTTTTATTAATTCATGTGTCAAACTGACAGCCCTTAAAATGCAAACTAGCTGTTTTTCGTTATTGTGTGGCCATAGGAACCTCTTTTTGCATTCTCTCTTTCCACAAATTGTATATGAATGTATATCTGCTATATGTAGTTTATGTCATTAAAACTGTAGCAACTGTACCTCCCAATGGTCAGTGTTGCCTCTGGCAGCTGAGGCTTCAGGATCAAACCAAACAAACTCTGTGTGAGTACGTGTTAATTCAGTGTCACGCAATTTACATATTTACAGGAAACGTTGAAGTGAAAGCATCTGTGAATACACCGAGACTCCGAGAGGCGTCTAAAAATCGCATTTTAAGCTTGAATTAGGACGACTGTTAATGAACTGTCATTAATGAATTTATTTAAAACAGAACATCATCACTTAGCAGCTCCTTACACTGAATTCTCAACCGACACCAGCTCAGGGTGCCTTCATTTTTTTGTGTGTGTTTGTGTTTCTCTCTGACATAGATTCAAGAGCAGACGGAGCGCCACAGAAAATTGATCACGCCGTCATTGGCGGCGTTGTCGCGGTGGTGGTGTTCGCCATGCTTTGTCTCCTGATAGTTCTCGGACGATATTTCGCGAGACACAAAGGTAAATCAAAGACGCGACTGTGGATTTAGCTTGAATTTGGCTTGTTTTGATAATGACAAATATTCCTCGTTTTAAGGTACCTACTTTACCCACGAAGCCAAAGGAGCGGACGATGCCGCGGACGCCGACACCGCCATCATCAACGCAGAGGGTGGACACAACAATTCGGATGACAAGAAGGAATACTACATTTAACTCTGACTAGACCTGCTAGCTTCCTGTGCTGAACAGCAAACTGTGGACTGCTGGGTTGGGAGGAAGGGGTTGTGGGATTCAATCAGGCTGGATTCACACCTGTGCAGCTGGAGAGACGGTGAGGAGAAGGTGCTGCCATCCAGACGGACGGGGTGTGGGATGGCAGAGCACTAGGAGAGCTCAATTTTAGACCGCTTCACCATCCAACACCTCCTGCTGGGGTCGGTTTTGTTCAGTTTCAACATTTGCTAAGAATTTTGTGCCTTGTTCTGTTCTTACTGAAGTTCCCACTTTAATCAGGACACCCACAAGCTACTGTCTCTCGAACGGTCCAAACCCAATTTGTTTTTTTTATTATTATTATTCGTTTCATTTCGGTTTTAATTGCCAGCGCATCTTAAAGCTCTCTCTCATGCCGTTCTGTCTGCAGGTCTGAAAGAAAGCCACACACAAAGTTTCGATGCAAGATTCAGTCACAGAACGATCTCTCGGGTTGTTTTCATGGATTGGTTCCAAGTAATTTATTTGGCAAATTGCCTGTTGCTCTCCTTAGTCCCTCAGAGAACGAGTTAGAGATGATACAAACCATTTTTGTTGTGACCAACAACATTGAGCAGCACTATTGTGCTGTTGCATTATTTATTAGATATACTGTATATGATTATAATCGCTTGTGTTGGTATTAGGGCTGTCAGTTGAACAAATTACTTTCGCAAAAAATATAATAATAAAATGCAATCAAAGTCATTAATGCCCCTTGACCAATATTTCAATTGAGTTTTAAAAATATTATTATTAGGCATTATCTTTATAAGTTCTGCTTTGCTTTTTATAAAAGTCATGTTATGCAATCAACATGCAGAAACGTGGTATTTATCAATTAACGAGTTGTTATATTTGTTAAAAAATTCTCTTTTACTTTTGTTCAACTACTGGACATGGCGCAATAAAATGTGGTATTCATGGTGTACCGTGCCAAAGATGTTTTATATTTCAACAAAATATCAGAACAGATTGACAACCTCAATTACACCGCAGGATGATGCGACTTATATTTAGACATATGGAAATAAAACTAAGTATTGTCTTCTAAAGCATAATTTGAATTAATTTGATTCACTCATCGTCAGCCCGTGTTGTAGTCGGTTTGATTAAAACTTTTAAACGATTGACAGCCCTAATTGTTTCATAGATATACTGTATGTGATTATAATCGGCTTGTGTTGATATTCATTCCGGCTTGTATCGCATTATCCATAAACCAACTCCACTCACAGACTAATTTATTGTAATTATGCCCAAGCATTAAAAATGAATGCCAAAGCAAAGAAGAGCAGAACGGCTCCTGACTCAGCTGTACAGGAAGGCCGTCACAAAGATGTCCCCTTCTACGAAAAAACGAAACCTATTTATCAAAGTGTAAAATAGCTTTCATTTTTAGCCTGTTCTCATTCAGTAGGCTCAGTATGAGGTCGAGGTCAAGTGAGTTTCTCCAACTATTGTTAGTGCTTCTGTGCGCTTCTCATAGTGACATTAAAAAAAAAAAATATTTGTAATAATGAAATAGATGGAGCCTGTTTGTTGTAAGCCATAGTCACAGTTGTGCCCTCTTGTTTCGGTTAGCAGCTCTTTTTCTGGATTCCTTCAATCCAGCTCATGTGTAGATGCCAGACTGAATGTAATAACTCTACAATAACGCAATAGTTTCTAAAAGCGAGTCCTGGATGTTGTCTCATCAAACATGATGTATGTGTTGGAGAAGTTTCCCAGGGACACTAATGTTTCTTCACTCTCATTATAGATGTATGGGGAGTGAAATTATTACGTTATTGTGGAGTTAGTATATATTGGTGATTTATCACACATTGGTCATATCTTTGGCCCTGCGTTCAGTGTTATAGACGATGGGACGGAGACGCGTTGTTTTTGATTGACTACACGGGGGCATTTTTGGAGAGTACGGTTAACATTGTAAAGTCCTTGTGACAAAATTGTTTGGTCATAGCATTTACATGAATTTGTGTATTATCAAGTGCTATTTTTTTTATTTTTTTTTTTGTTGGTTCGCTTGTTATGTTTTTTCTTAGTGTTACTCCTGAGATTATCTGGCAGGTGAGCTTTATTTAGATTTGAAAACGCTATTAAATGATGGTATATTTGTGCGAGGATCTTGTAGCTAATGCCACTCTTTATACTTGGTTATACGGAAACTTTCCTTTTGATTGTCATTGTATGTTGTACAGAATTTTGTGGTTTTATACAGACAGTAGATTTATTTTAACATATCATGTTTCGAATGCCTACAACACTAAACTGATTGAGAATCAAGTAAATGAATGTTAAATTTAAAAAATGTTAAATTACGCCCCCTAAAAAAAAATGTTGGACCCAATTACATACACTACAGTTCAAAATTTGGGGTCAATACGATTTTTTAAAAAAGAAATTAATACACTGTAAAAAAATGTTGATGGTTTAACTTAAAAAAGTAAGTAACCTGGTTGCCTTAATTTTAAGTTCATTGAACTGGAAAAAGTGAGTTAATACAATTAAGGAGATTCATTTAACCATCAGAAACTCAAAATTCTATGTTATCTGAACTAAATAAATTATTTAAGTTGATTTGACAAAAGAAAAAATGTTGTGATTACTACACTGTAAAAAATTTTTTGTTGGTTTAACTTAAAAGAAAATATGTTGTGATAACACATCTTGAAAATATTGTTTACAGTGTACAGTACTTTTATTCAGCAAGGATTTGTTAAATTCATCAAAAGAGACAGTAAAGACATTTATAACATTGCAAAAAAAAAATGTAAATGCTGTTCTTTTGAACAATCTGTTCCAATATGAAAATTATGTATCATATTTCCACAAAAAAAAGGAAGCAGCACAACTGCTTTCAACATCGATAATAATAAGAAATGGTTCTTAAGCAGCAAATCCAGCTTCACCATCACAGGAATTAATCACATTTTAAAATATATTCAAATACAAAGCAGTTATTTTAAATTTGATTAATATTTCAGTACATTACAGTATGCAGCCTTGCTGAGCATAAGATACACTGTAAAAATTAATATACTTTATCTGATCAATAGAATGGTGGCAACAGATTACAAGCAATGTTATTAATTAAATTTAACAAATTAGAATTCAGTAATAATTAATCAAATTATTCCTTAAAAGTTAACCATTTAAAATTTAACAAAAATATCTCACTAACAGACGAACGTCAAAGATTAATTAAGAGCTCTTTAATTAAAATTGCCAACATTGAAGACATCTGATGTTAACAAGCAGGAGAAAATAGTAATTTTAAGATAAACCTAAAACAAACACTGATCACCATAATGGTGACTGCAATATATTTATTTTTTTGGTTGTTGTTGTAAGTTTTACTTATTTTAAGTGATTAACTTTTGCGGAATTACTTTGATGACTCAATTCTAATTTGTTACATTTAATTTATAACATTGCTTGTAATCTGTTGCCACATTTTTTTTTTATTAGATAAAGCACATTCATTTTTACAGTGTACTTTTAAATCCATTTGGTCCACTTTAGACACTCTACTAACGATAAGTAACTTTGCAACTATATGTGAACTAACTCTCATTGGAGTATTAATAACGGTCTAGATTATAGAGTTCAGGTTATAGTATAAGTTGACACAGTTGCAGAGTTATATGTCTGTTGGGGTGCAATAACAATAAAGTATTAGCAGATATTAGGCAGACAGTCTAGTAATACTTTAATGAGAGTTAGTTGACTCGTAGTTCTAATGTTAATTAGAATTAGTAAAATTTCTAAAGTGGATCTTTAAAAAAAAAAGTGTTATCAAAAATCGTACCGACTCCAAACTTTTTAATTGTAGCTACATTCAATGACAAAATGCTAACTTTGTGCACCATGCATGTGAAAAAAAAGTCATTCATAAATGTATACTATATCATTTTGGTCAATTATTATACTGTAATTGTAATGGCATGGTGCTTTTTTACATGTCAAATAAGGAGTGAGGGCTACAAAGAGTCATAACATGGTGAGGGTTTCCAACTTATATTGGCCAAATCCCTCCTTTCATTTATGCTCTTTACTTTTATTATTCACAACTTAAATGGTAAATGATCTAAAACTGCCCAAATATGAAGAAAAAAAACATGCACACAAACACACCTTCAATGTAGGTTTGATTCTGCCGTCTCAGGTCTGTCTATGAATTCATTTTTTGCATCTCAGGTAGAATGCAAAAGTGATGCCCCATATCTGAAAGAAAAGACTTTAAATTATTATTAAAAAATCATGCAGAAAAGACCATGTTTTATCTGCACTTCAGATGCTGTGCACTGTGTAAATGTTCATATTACTTTGTATAGTTGGGTCACAGCAGATGATAGGTTTATTTAAAGAAAATAAATCTAAGATATGAATCTACGATGCATTTTCCATTTTTAGACAACCTGTATTATCCAGAGCTGTCTTTCATTGTTTTCACAGGTTTTATGTCAGATATTTTGTCTCATCTCTGTAGTTTGTATTCTTGTGTAATTAAAGTTATTTACATGTTCCGGATTACACTTTGTATTTGACCATGAAAATACATTTTTACAGAAATGGAGCAGTACTGTCTTAATAAAAAAAAAAACAGGTATTAATGTTCAAACAGCAGTTGAATTGTGTTTTATATGTTCACTGGAAACAAATTTCCTTTATGAAGTGTCCAATTAGCACTGTCCATGGACGGATACACGTGCTATATACACCGCTTTATATAGAAACGTTAGATTTCTGCCTCGCATAATCACTAAAATAGTCTCATTTTTCATACGGAGGATGAATTACCTGATAGCACGTTTCATCATGATTCGTGGTTTGTCGATACTGAAACATATGTTGTGAAATTCTGTGCCAAATCTAATTACAATAAGGGAAACATGAGAAAAAGACTGAGCAGAAACAGCGGCGTGTTAGTGTATAATTGAGCTCGTGTTGCATTGGAATGAGAAGTGAGATGACTTTTGTTCCATTTTTGGACCCTATAAGAACCTTTTTGACTAATAAGAAAGTGTTAATCCGCCTAATCCAATTATAATTAGTAGTGCTTGCTAAGGGAAGCAGAACTATTAATGTTGCTCATTCTTAACATTAGAGATTTTAAACAAAACGCTAACCTTAAATATTATACTATCCAATCAGAACACCCTAGCAACCTTCTAGCATTCACACTACTTTCATTTCTTCAGAATGTCAAAATTATATTATTTAAAGGTGGGGTTGATTGCGATTTCACTTTTTTTCAGTTTAAACAGTGTGTAATGTTGCTGTTGGTGCATGAACAGTAAGCAGAGATTTCGTCTTTTAAAAATCAGGAAGTATATTGCCTACAGAAACGACTCGATTGGGACTACAGCTGGGTTTTAGACGTCACTAACCCACACATTTGCATCAATCTCTCCCTCCGGAATAGGCTCGTCGAGTGTGTTTTGTTCTCCAGCTGTCAGGTCTTCTGTGTTCAAGCTTCCCACGGACGCTGTACTTCGTCAACAATGGATACTATTTACTGAATGTTTGATTATGTTCCTGAAAATGAGGATCGTAATGTAGCTCTCTGTGCTGCGCATTTTACGGAAGACGCCGGATTCAACAAGAAACTGTTACAAAAACATGAAGCAGTTCCAGCTTTAAAACAAGAGGCAGCAGTTGTTGGGCCACAACCTGTAAGTAGGCTAAGACTTCCTCATTTTAAATGTATTTGCATGTATAATTCCAGATGTAGCCTTGTGTTTAATTTTTTCTCAAATGCCAGCGCTAGCTTTATAGCCACTAGGCTACTAGTTATGCTATTTTGTGTCTACGACAAACGCATACAAACATTATGGACCTGAATTTTGAATAAGTACCAATGTTGTAAATGTATTTTTCATGTTACATGTATATATGCTTTATGACGTTATTTTCGATTTGATCAAGATAGAAGTAAACTAATGCCAACGCTGTTGGAGTATAACATTAGTAGCCAGTCAGTTCCTATTGTTGCCAGTCAGATGCTATTGTGTTAAACAAACGTACGGTATATAAAGTTAAAAAATGTAGCAAATTGTCATTCAGAAACGTTTACTTAGAGCCGTGTGGTGCCAGTCAGTTCCTATTGTTGCCAGTCAGATGCTATTGTGTTAAACAAACGTACGGTATATAAAGTTAAAAAATGTAGCAAATTGTCATTCAGAAACGTTTAGTTAGAGCCGTGTGGTGAAGTTCTGCTTGACTCTTTCATCGCCGCTTTCTCGGTCTGATTCTGCCTCAAACTGATACTGCAGTTCGACACCATTATTTACATCTGAGCGCAGGCACGATTCGCCGGTAAAGGTAATGGGCGTTAACCTTCCGGACAACGTGAGCGACAGTTTAGCCAATCACCACACACCAGCCCAAACTACTGTAAACAATCTGAGCCCACTGCCTGTTTCTGAGGAAGTCGACCGGTCGTTCAGGGGACAGAGGAGAGCGCGGCTGAAAATAAAGGTGAACTTTATGAGAAATAAGACTTTTTAAAAAAGAAAAAAACACGAATATATGCTATATTGCACCCCATAAACAGAATCATGCAAAGAAAAAAGCAGTCAACCCCCACTTTAATGTAATGTGTAACACAGTCAGTGGAGTGTTACATCTGCCTTTACTGAGACGACTGAACCTGACGTATTCTCTTAAAGGAGTAGTTCACTTTTGAAAAAACTTTTGCTGATAATTTACTCACCCCCATGTCATTCAAGATGTCCACGTCTTTCTTTCCTCAGTCGAAAAGAAATTAAGGTTTTTGATGAAAACATTCCAGGATTTTTCTCCATATAATGGACTTCAATGGGAACCAGGTCCAACCGAGGTCCAAACGACAGTTAATAACAGTTTCAGATGCAGCTTCAAATGTCTTTAAACGACACCAAACGATGAATAAGGGTCTTATCATGCGAAACGATCGGTTATTTCAAAGCTTATTCCAAAAATGTAACTTTTCTAAGGACAAATGCTAGCCTTGTAATATATTGTGAGGCGCGTTTGCAACGTCACGTAATACATAATTACGTTCAAAAGGTCACGGGCGACGTAGTCGTTGTTTTACCTTTTAATTCCTTTTTTTTGTAAACGGCGTTTGAGTTAGTTTGCACGTTCAACCTATGCGTTCAACTTGTAAACACTCTGACTCTGTACTTCTGGCGACGTCGCCCGTGACCTTTTGAACGTAATTACGTATTACGTGACGTTGCAAACGCGCCTCACAATATATTACAAGGCTAGCATTTGTCCTTAGAAAAGTTACATTTTTGGAATAAGCTTTGAAATAACCGGTCGTTTCGCATGATAAGACCCTTATTCATCGTTTGGTGTCGTTTAAAGACATTTGAAGCTGCAT